TGTAGTGAAGTTGTGTTATGCCTCTTACATTGGTAAAAATATACACCAATTATACCTGCAAACATATGGGAGTATCAAGCAGAACTGATAAAAAAAATAAATTTTAATTTGTAAATTTTTTGTACCTAATAATTTACCCTGTTCAATATAGTTTGTTGAAGATGGAATATGTATATTCCAAAACGTTCAAGAATTAAATGTTTGTTACTGTTCACACACGTGTCAAGTGTTCATTGTTGCTACCGTTGTTCTGTTGTTCATCATTAAACTTCGATTCCCTTCCAGTGAATCTGTTGCTAGATGTAACACCTTTTCATACCTCAGATAAGAGACAGTTTATATTCATTTTCCTATACAATCATGATATTTTATCCCCAGTTTAAATTTATACCAAACGACTATGTGTAATAGTTTTTTCGAGGAAGAATAATTACACTACCAGACTAAATAATATGAAAAATAATTGAAATCATTTTTTTAAATTACAAAGATTCTGAATTACACATGTACATTATATATCTTAACAGTTGAAGTAAGTATATTAACATTATTGGGATAATAAGTACATCTGGCATGCTTAAAGTTCATAAATCAGATTGTCCTGTAAGACCAATAGCATCAAACATTTTCACATACTTTATCATATTTTATAGTACTTTCTTCAGATGTTGTGAAGTTATGATTAAAGACAAATTCAAGTTTTTCCCATTTGGTTCAGAATTTAATTTCTTTAATTAATGTGTATACACCAACTTTAATGTTGAGTTATTGTACATACACCATTATTCTCTTGGAATAATGTAAGTATGATTTATCTATGAGTACATACTTTTTTTTCTCACACTTAATTTTGTAAATTTTTAACCAAACATTTGTTTCTAGTGTTAAATTCTTCTCCTGTTAAAGAGTCATGTTTTATGTTTAACAGTAATAAATATTTCAGTTCTAAGCTTACACTTGGTGTTGCATGGCTAATTTAGTTTTAAGCTTTAATAGGAAATAATGGCTGAAGGAATATCTGATGCCTTTGAACAGTTAAACTATAGACTTTTCTTTGATGATAAAATTGTTATATTTCATTTGCAGAAGCATATGAATAATTATCTTAAATTTACAGTAGAACAGGAACATGATTCATGGTTGTGATTGGTAGGTTCTTTGGCACATGAATAGTGAAATAGTTTTGAAGTGTGTTTATCACAAATCAAAATTTTCTTGATTAATTGTTTACCAGTTCTGAAGACTTTGATACTTTTCTTGTACAAAACTATTTTTTGTAAAATAGGCCAATACTTAATAGATTACATCTTGATTACACTAAGTATCAATATAATTGCTGTAAGGTTTTTTTTAAACAAAGGTGATAGATGCTACACTTACCTTAATGTTAAACTCAAAGTTTTATGCAGGGTGTTAATTAATTGTTGAATAAGCAAACACTGTTGTGCAGTAATTAGAGCTATATTTGTATTTTAATAACTTTTGCTTGTTAAACTTCATAAATTCACATTAATTGGACTTTTGGCCTTTGTACAGAAATTTGTATATTTCAGATCCTTGAGCGCCATCTCACATTGGATAAAACATGGAAAGGTAGTGACCACTGTGCATCTCTTGATCCAGAGGAATTTCAGCAGTTAGTGTCTCAAGTTAGAAATGTTGAAACAGCCTTAGGTTCACATATTAAAATCGTGAGAGAGTCTGAAATTGCTTGCTACAGAAAGGTTAGTGGATTTTTATCTCCTCTAAATTGGTTCACTACATTTGTAAAACAGATAAAGCTTAATAGTAATGTTTAGAAACCCTTTTTTTGCTAAATGAACTAAGGTATGTACTTAACCACCAACATTTAGCAATCTAAGCAAAACTAGTTTAGTCAGAACAGGCATAAAGGAAAATATTAAGTGTTGCAAATAATAGCTGAATGTAGTAGTCTAGGTGACATTTTGGCCAACTGCCCTTTTTCAAAACTAACAAGAGACCATTAAAAGTTTTAAGAAATTAATCTTAAATTTAAAAGGAATGTTAAAACTGTTAACTTAAATATAGTACATTTAAATTTCAAAATATGGTAATACTTAAAGGTATTTAGCATAGGATGTATTATTGAAAAATTATAAAATGTTTACAGGGAACTGGAAAAAAACAAGACAAGGGTATTTAAAATTAAAAGAAGTGTTCATTCAGACTGTTGAAGTGGAAAATTATTAGTTAGCTGTTTTTTAATATTTATATTTAAAGTAAAGTATAAATATGAATATTAAGAACAGCTAACTAATAATTTTCCACCTCAACAGTCTGAATGAACACTTCCTTTAAAGTAAAGTATAAAAGACGTTTGTTCTGAACTATTTAAAGTAATTAAATTGTATACAATAGTTTTGAAAGGTTATGATAATCTGAAATTAATAATGTATAATCATTAGCAAGAAGTTTACCTCAAAAATGAATAAATCTAGTATTCAAAGTGTGGTAGGAGAAACTTTGTTTATGAGAAAAGAGAGTGAATAGTTTATGAGCTTTGGTCACAAAATCTTGTAATGTTGAAAAAATTATATTATACCTAATAAGCTGTAAGTAGCAAATATTTTAGCATAATTTATTTGGAATATTTGTATTTGAAATGTAAAATCTTTAACTTCAAACTTAAAAGTATCTGTTTTATTGAAAATTTTGAACTTGAATGATATTAATATGTATACCCAGATAATATGTAGTGAAAGAGATTTTCTACAGAGTGAGGCATGGTTGATAAATTTGTTTCATAGTTTCAAGAAAATCTTGAGAATTTGATAAAAGAATACCATCAATATATGTATAAGCTTGCAAGTGTGATTATATTCATGTTAAACTGATTTTTCTTTGAGCAATGGGATATGCCCACTGAATAACATGAGGTTGGACAAGTTATCTATTACAGAGAAGCTCTAAATTTCTCTTAATAACTGAGTTTGTGAGAATGAAATAAAGAGACTGGACACAATGTAAAATGCAAATGAGTTTATGTACTTTTGTTTGACAAATGGTTTCTTTTACTGGATCAGCTATTTGACTATCTGTTTTGAGATTGTATACCAGATAGTATAAATCTAATATTCCTTACTTAACTCTCTTTAGAAGGGCTCAGTCACTTCAACTGACATTGCAACCACCAAGTAAGCATGAAAGTATACCTACTATAATTTTTAATTCAGAATGTGTAGCTTCATGATACTTGACAAGCTTTTGTTCAGAAATGCCACTTACCTTTCTGCACTACTAAGAGCTATTATCTCGCATGCAACTTGCCATGGAGTTTCTTTGGCATGCCATAACCCTTGAACAAGCTCCCACCCCTACACATGTCTATGTGTATTGCACTAGTCTATGATGTAATCTTCATAATGCTGTAGCCCTCCACCAATAGGAGGGTGACATGACCTCCATGTGTAGTAATCTCTGTGAGCACTAGCAAATGATTATTGGTTCATTCTTTTCTTGGTACTGCTTGTGCTCAGATGTTTTTTCTTGTGCTTTTTGAGTTTCTAGTCACCTTACTCAACTGCCTTTATTTTTATAGAGCTACATTGCTTTTCTCCTTCTTGTACTTTTGTTCCATCCATCTGATTCAACTTTGTTTTCCCTAGCTACTACATATCCACTTTAGTCTAATTTCATGTATTCCATGTAACATACACATACAACGTATGTATATATGTGTGTGTGTGTGTATATATATATATATATAAATAAGTAAATAAGAGAAATTCCTGAGGCCCTGAAACTCCTTTTCAGGAATGTTTTTCAACTGACTCAGTAGTGACTTCAGGCACTTTGTCTGTTTATGGACCTTACTTAATAGAGCACATGCCTTCATGTGACAAGTCCTAGATTTCACTTTGTGATGAGATACTTTGTACATAATGGATAACATGAGCTGTGATGAACCATTGTGTACCAATGAGTTAATTGACGAGGTTTTCACTTATATGCATCAAGTGATTGGTACCCTTCTGCATACTTCTCCAGTTCAGGTCCTTAATCATTTTGTTTCTTTGCCTTTTGTGGAGCCTGCCTTACCTGTGGATGATTTTGGCGAACTATTCCACCCCATTTTTTGTTTCTGGCTCTTCTCTCCCTGATGAGGAACAAGTACTTCCTCCTTTTCAGTTTACTACACTTATGAATCGGGTATGTGATGTTCTGTCTTTTTTACCTGTATATCATAATATTTCTGTAATTGTTCCAATTTATATACCTTCTTCTGTTTCATCTCTGTGTTGTTCCACAGCTTTCTTGTTCTAATTCTTTTTTGTGACTCATTCTATAGCCCCAGCTCATGACCATTTTTATTTCTTGATCCATAATCTCTTGTGCCTTTTTATTCTGCCTAAGGTGCTCCTCTTTCTCTTTCTTTACATCTATCTGTTCATTTTTGTCTATTTTTACCCTACTCCTTTACTCTCTCTTTCCACCCTTCACTGAGGCTCTTCACTGCCACCCCAGTAGTTTTGAAGGAGACACCTAATTTTTTTTTACCCACTTTGGTTTCCATTTCTTCTTCTTCAATCTTTATTTTGGCCTGGTTTCTTTGTTTTTGAGATTTCCTGAGTTGGGTTTCCACATCCCTCTTGGTATCCACGGTACCTCTCTCTTGCATTTGGGGATTCTGGTTGCTCTGGGACCCCTGATTCCTTTTGGTCATGTGCACACGCATCCCCTTCAGTAGGTACTGGGGGATCATTGGAACATGTCATGCATTCACTTATCTGGCTTTGTGTCTCTGGCACCCTCTAAGTCTGACTGTCAAGGTGACTCAATCACTCCAACACATCTCGGGATATACTACTTCTTCCCTGGCTTAAATTGCATCATTCTACCGATGCCTCTCTTTCTGGTTGGTGGTAGTTCTCAACACCACCATTGTGTCTAGGGTCTGGTCTTCAGAACAGCATTCTCTGTATATCAACTTTCTAAAGATGATTGTGGCTTATCAGGCTTGCCCTCTTCTTCTGTCATGGTTGTCCATCATCTTGTAATGATCTACTTGAAGAACTCCACGGTCATCACTTCAATCAAAAACCAGGGAGGCACCTGCTTTTGGAACTTGTGCTTTCTCACTCTGGACTTCCTGTCTTGGACCTACACCTGTTGTATTCACATCATGAAATGTCATGTCTCTAGTGTTTATATCTTGTGATAGATCACTTCTTTCACCTTGAAGGGATCCATTTCATAGAGTGGTTTTTACATCCTTCAGACTTATGTTGGATTTGTTCCCATTTTGGAACTCCTCAGATAGATGTGTTTGTGACTCAGTTATTCGTTTTTCATGACAGTGTGTCATGCCTTGATCTTTAAATGTGGAATTTGTCTCATCACTTACATGATGTATGACATTTTCTGAGTAGTCCATTTTCTGTTTTTTTTCTTGTCAGTCTTCTACTTTCACCCTCCATCATAGTACATGGATCATCTACTACCACTCTCTTCAGTCAGGTGCCATCCTACTCCAAATCTTACTTTCTTTTTTACCCGGATTTACATTTAGGATTTGTCTTTTTCATCCAATGCAGGTTTGCATGGGACATTGTCCACAACCTTTTGCCTCTTGCCAGGCAATAATCCCTTTCTTTTGCCACCATTTGTCTGGTCCCTTCTCCCCTTCTGGGACAAACAAACAAACGTGTTAGAAATTCCACAGCAGTTGCATGCAAGGTAGTAGCTCTTAGTAGTGCAGAGAGTTATGTATATGAAATACATTTTTGGGTAAGCAAAAAAGTTAATACAATCGTTACAAGGCTTTGCACACAAAATATTAGATATTTGTGTAAATTTATTGAGTCAGACTCTGATTAATCTGAGTACATTATTTTTATACCAAGATTAAAGATATTTTTCATCTTACTTTTTTCTTCAGTAAAAATTATATTTTATCTGTTACTTTTTACACTCTAACTGTAAACACACTTGATAAATTTTTCCAACTTTGTAATATGTGTGCTGTGATTCTTTTACAGTAGGTGTTTGTGACTTGTTGGCGATAAATTCGAACAATAAACGGTCAGCACACAATCCACTTGTTTTAAAATAATAAATTCAAATCAAGTCTAACACTCTAAATAGTTTTTCTTTTCAAAAGTCCACAGGTTAGTTCAGTTACTTTAAAACCCAACTGACAAGAAGAATTCTTCCCCTCTATCTCTCTCACTATACAATCTGGGATAAATTCACTTACGTTACCCCATGGGTTACCACAGTTGTATCCAGAACTTCAAATAACTGTCTCCTTTTGTCAACGTCCACACAGATGGGTTCAATTACTTTAGAACACCCTTCGACAAGACAAATTATTCTTTTTATCTCTGTTTTTGTCTTTTTTGATGTCTGTCCTATGAAGAAACGTAACCATAATTTCTCGTAAGTATATTAAATATTCAATAACATCCTTTTTGTTTTTTAAAAATAATAATATTCTTCCTTTTAGCTATAAGTTGGTTGTTGTCAGTTGGGCTATCAGCTGTGTCCACCATAGGGAACTGTTGTAAGTCTGTAAACTTACTGTTGCCCCACTAAGGGGCTTAGCCATAAGCCCTTCAAGTAGTGGAGATACTTTTTTCATAAAAATATAGCTTTTTAAACTTGATAACACAAGGGCAATGAAAAAAAAATTGTTGGCAGCTTTGAAGCATTTACCATGTAAATAATCTAAATATTCAGTAACTTCCTTTTTATATATAAAATTGTTCATATTTGTTAATAGTGAATTTTTTAAGTTAACATGCCATGCATTTATATATTATATCCTTAAATCTGCTTACAAATCCTTTAAATAGGTTTAACTTTTCTTTCTTAAACCTATTATGATGAACGTTGAGTGTCTAACAAATTACTTGTTTTGTGCATTGCAGATAACTTTAGTACATTCGCAATATTTACCTTTTTCTCATCAGGTGTAAGATATTCTAAGGTATGATATCAAAGGTACCAGTGAATACATGGTTAACAGAAGAATAAATGTAAGGTGATAATTTTCATTTACAATAAGAGAATACATTAATGTTACTCCTGATTATGTATATATATATCACATTATTAACATCCAAGATTCTGCTGTTAATGACCCTCTTCCAAGAAAGCTAACAGTTGACTAAGTACTTAATTTTGCAAATGTTCAGTAATATCTGTTTTACAAGTATTTCTCGCTATAAATTCTAATTTAACTAGTTTAATACTTCTGTCAATAAGCGAAAGTACAAGTTAAACATTTTCCTTATGTTCATTAATATTTGTTGTTTTAAGTTTAACTAATGATAAGTAACAATTAACATCTGATTTCATCTAGGAAACAAATTATAAATAATCACATAACAAATTCAAAATTATAACAACTTTTGTACATACCACTTTTACAGCATTGTTTGTGAAAATACTCTTTGCATTTCAGCTTGGCAAAACACTGGTAGCTTCACAAAATTTACAGTGTGGAACAGTTCTCTCAGAAGACATGCTTGACATAAAAGTTTCTGAACCTAAGGGACTAAATGCAGACCAGTTCTATAATGTTATAGGCCATACTCTGATTCATGATAAGGAATATGATGACAGTATTTTTGAAGAAGATATTTCTTGAAATCATGTGCTATTATTAGAACTGAGCAGATAGTTAAGTGTTTCAACATAAAGCTTAGAAAAATTATACTTTGTAATTTTTTTCTCCATAGTGTTGCACAGAATATTATATATAATGAACTTTCCATATAGCTTTGCAGGGATGTTACCTTTTATGTGGTTTGTGCTTTCTGTTATTCTCAAGTTTAGTTATAATAAATAGATAGTGTTATGTTCCCAGTCAGAGTCTGGTGATTTATTACATAGCCATAGGATTTGGCTGAGTGATTAAATGTATAGTTTATGTAAATTAATGAAATAAATAGAAATATGATTTCCTGATAATATTTTTGCTTATTTTATAAAGAAATTTAAAGAAGACATTGAGAATTTTATCAAATTTATATAGATACTACCTTCCTTATGTATATTGGATGAAAAGAGTAACTAACTTAAGTTGTAAGTAATGAGCATTGTGATAAGAGCCTGGAATCAAAAGTGAATGTTAGCTTAATCCTATTCAGGAAAAAAGATAACCACATCTTCACTCTGAAGGGGATTTCACAATCAAAGGTGAAGTTTAAATGAAAGCAGAGGTACACATAGGGTTGTGATCTGTCACAATATTCACAACATATACATATTATTACAAATAATTACCACAAACATATTGCTGTCAAGCTAATGTAGTATATAATTTGGTCAGTGTTAACTATTTCAGACAGGTTATTAATTTAAAATTAAATGAGAATTAGCAGAATAAATACGTAAAGCGAGCCTGAATGTGCAAAAGGTTGAAAAACCCTGGTGCAGATCACATGACAAAATGATGTGACTATTGCATATCTTCAGCAGGATAATGTGCTTTTACACAAGTCTCGGGATAAATCTTGAGGCTTCTCAAGAATTTGTTGTTTCACTTCTGCAGCTTTATATTGCTATTTAGCTCTGATAAAAAAGTTTCAACTATGCTTTTCACTGTGCAAGGGGTTTCTTTCCCTATCATCCAGTAAAAGTCAAAGCAGTGAATGTCAGAGAAGTCCCAAGATTTATCTGAAATAAAATTGAATACTATATTCCTATAGTGTGTGCACTGCATGCATACATTTATATGTCAAGATTACCAAATTAGGTGACTGAAAGCAGTAGATCTAAACATGTTGTGAAAGCAGTTTTTGAGTACTAATAAAAGATAAGTGAATATGACATCACAGTAGGCTTGAGTTGCAATCTGAGGGTCAGAGGTTTGAATCCTGTTCCAGAACATATATGCCCTTTCAGCTGAGAGAGGGGAGGGCATTATAACATGACGGTAAATACAATTATTCATTGGTAAAGAATAGATCAAGTGGTAGTGGTCTTAGCTAGCTGCATTCCATCTTATCTGTCACTTCAAAATTAGGAACAGGTAGCACATATAGTCCTCGAGTAGCTTTGCACAAAATACAAAAGCAAAGAAACAAAATGACATCAGAAAACAAAGGATTTAATCATGGTATAATAAACAGTCTGTTTTAGTGGCTTTGAAACTATGTAGCTGCAATATAATATGAAAATTACAAAAAAGTTCCACACAGGGAATAAACACTGCTGCTACAGTGAATAGGTTAAATAATCAAACTATACATTATAGTTTTTTTTGTCTGTGTCTTGTATCCTCTCTCTTAATATGAATAATAGAATATTACTTATATGTGAAATAAATTAAATAGTTCTGTTATTCTCACATTTCCCTTGTGTTGCCATTTTTTTAAAGAAGTATAATAAAAACTGCCCTTGTCCAGTCTATAGGTCACTCTTTGCTTTTTCAAATCTATTACAGTATCTGTGTAGTAGTTTTATGCCTTTTCCCCTGTTGCTTTTATCAATTCAGCTGGTATATCATCCATTTCTGGCACTTTCGTCTTTGTAATTTTCTTAACTGCATTAACAATCTCAGATATAAGAATCTCTTTTCAACTATAGCTCTTCTTATCTGACTTCTTTCTTCTCATGGTATTTTTTCCAACATTTTTTGAATTCTTCTCCTTTTTGTATTTCATAGAGGTTCTATATTTATTATTAATTACATATACTTTTGGTGAAAGCTATTTTCAAATCTTTTAGAAACCTAAACAAGACCTTTGACTTGTTCTTAATACTGTTTTCTTGTAACTCCTTGCATTTTTTATTAATGGAAACTTACCTATTTTTCTTGGTTTGTTTTGTGTTCTTTTATAGTTCTTGCACTTTTATCCCTTGCTTTAACATTCTATTGGAAAACTATTCTACAGATATATTGTACTTTTGTTTAGGTATATCATTTTGCACTTTCTGTTTTCTTGCCTATGCATAACTATTTTGATGTTCATTATTTATGGTGTTGCAGAAACTCTTTAAACCAAATTTTTATCTTTACCCTGTACCAATCTGACATATTCAGATCAAATCCGATCAGTAACTTAATCTTCAGTTTGATAATTGCTACTTTTTAAAAGCTCATGACCAGATTCACAGTCAGTGTGTAGGTATATTTTGTCAATCTAATATTCATTCTTCATTTATTCTGAATTGTGAATACTCAGTTTGGTTTTATCTTACTATCATGCAAAGCCAATGGATGTTGTTTAAAAAAAGTGTTAATTATCACTGTTTCATTATGCATACAGAAATCAATAAGTCATTCACTAACTTGATTGTGTATGCCAAGAATATGTTGGCCAATTACACATACTAAGCTTGTAGCATGCATTTAAAACATCTTTTGCTTTCCCATAATTTATATCTTGTATTTCCAAAATTTAAAAATTTCTACTGTTTCATGAGATATTTTTATTGTATCCTACATTACCTTGTGTATGCAGGACTGTTCAAAGATCATCACTTTGAGAAGGTATTTTGGATTCTCACAATTCTATTGTGTTGCATCAGCTACAGATAGAATGTGGATTGGGAGAGCAGTTTGGAGGAAATTAGTTTCTGTTCTAAGAGGGACAAAACCTGGGGCTTAAAAAAATACACCCTTCTAATGACATTTTTTCACTGATTCTTAATGATAAAAGAATATTTACCCATGTAGGGTAGATTGATGACAAGTAGATATTGTGGCACTTCAGTTGTATACTATACAATTGAACTGTATAGTATACTAATACTTCACTGGTTTGAATAATTACCAAGTATTCTATCAGTTACAAAACTTATAAGCTGAGGCCTGAAATAAACATTGTTGAAACGAGCAGTAAATTACTTCTACTGCAATAAAAATGTAGTAGTTTGATTTCCACTTGTTTCTCTACGAAGTAAAATTGGTGTTGTACTACATATAAATATGTCAACTATTTATCGTTACAGTTGTGGCAAGTTTGTTTGTAGTTAAGCACAAAGCTGCATGATGGGCTGTGTGTACTGTGCCCACCAGGGGTAGCAGAACCCAGTTTCTAGCATTATATGTCTGTAGACAGTTGTGGCAAGTCTGTTAGCATTATTACTGATCAACAAATCAAGATGAATTGCTTCAGTTATAAATTTTCATAAAATTGGTGGCTTTATAATGGTGATATTGTTAAATTATTAATCTTCTTTTCCCAATAATTTTTTATTTCATTTTTTTCAAAGTTTCATCAAGTGTTTTAAAGATCAAAAGTAACTCCTGACAAAGCATGCTTTGAGACCGCATAAATTAATAATTAATTTTTGATGTGTCTATTTTTAATGTGACAGATATTTTTACTAGGCAGATAATTAGTCAGTTTTCTTGATAATTTCAGTTGTAATTTAACTCAGTGATTACTTTGTGACAAACGTTAGCAAATTGTCCTTTTATTTATTGCTAATCTGTACTGATATTTCTCTGTTAAAAATGTGTAGGCTAACTACTATTGCTGCAAAATGTTGACTAAATATAGGAATGAAAGATCTGTTCTTACTGCTCTCTGGATAAAAAAAATTCCAAATTGATGATAATGTTGGTTTCCACATAAGATATGAGATTGCAAAGTTAACTTCTTATAAGATTTTGTACATCTAATTTCATTATAAAGAGTAAAACTATTGTCAAAATATGTGGATTCTCATATTTTATGTATTTTTCAAAACATATTAACTAGTTTTGTGCTTTAATCAGAGACTAGGGGATAAACTCTTACTTGACGTATGATGGATGTACTAAAATTATTTGAATACTGAAACACTGTTTATAAAAAAAAAAAAAAAAAGATATAGATGGGATTGAACCTGCAACATTCCACATATGAAGCATGTACTGTGTCATATGCTCCAAAGCCCAGAATTTTTTCATATATAATATTAAGTGTTATACTATATATATATCAGAAGAGTATATGTTTTTAAGTAGATAAATCCTTTAAATAATGCTGCTGTTGTTGTATTATGTAGTTGAACATGAAAGAAACAAAAACCTATTATTAAGCAGAATATGGAGTTGTATTTAGATTTAAAGAAGTGTAAAAACATGGAATGAGTATAAACAATTTTTTTTTTTAATAAACACCTTGTCCTTCTGGATAATCAACATCTTTAACTAAGATATTGATATTTTTTTCGTCAAACTCTTGATAAAGTGCCATTATAAAATAGTGTATTTTTGAAATTATGGTATCAAGAACTGTAAACATCAACTGTCTCATTTGCCATTACTTCACTATTTTTAAAATTATGGTATCAAGAAGTGTAAACATTAACTGTCTTTGTGTGCCCTTATTTTATTTATTTTTCTCTTTCCTTCCATTACAGTATCAAAACTTTTTTTCTTCTTACTCTCCAATTATGGAAATGCTGAAATATTTTATTTTCCTAACGGGTAAACTCATTCTTCACGTAAAAAGTATATTTAAACTTCGGGCATAATTGTTGATTATTAGGTGCCTGTACTGAGATAGGTGGAAATGTATAATAATTATAAAATAATGAAATTTTACGATTATGGTATCAAGAAGTGTAAAAAGTCAACTGTTGTCATGTCTTTTTTTTTCTGCATTTCTTGGGTGTGTATGTGTTTAAGTTCCATTTGATATTATTTTCTTTGTAACTGTTTTCATTTGCACATTATGTTAGCTGTAGAGCATAGCGAATGAATGAAATTGTGGCAGTGACTATTAAGGCTAATTGCTGTAGAATATTGGATTATATAATGGATAAACTCATCCTTTGCATAGGAAGTGTATTTAAACTTTAGGCCTAACTGTCAATTTTTAGGTGCCTGTTGGAATTTGTATTGAGATGTAATGGTCTTGCATTATTTATAAGCCGCGGAAAGGTAAAGAATTAACTTAATGTTTTCTTGCATGTTTGTTTATTTTAGTGAAGTAACTCTCTCTACATTTAATGATATAAACATCATACTTTTGCACTCGTATAAATGTAAAAGTACCACTGTACAATTAGCCAATAAGAATAATGGGTTTCCATGCGAGTTGGCCTTCAATACAAATTAATAAATGTAGATTATAAAATTTCAACTATTGCAAGAAAATATTGTTTCTAGCTCATTGAAGCTTTTATATTTATGTAATTAAAAGAACGTGTGTCAGACATTTCTCACACGTATTCATGTACGTGTGATGGCATCTTGGACTTTCCAGCAAGTTTTCAGACAGCTGTATAGTACAGCAATTTAGTTTGTCATAAACCAAGACATCTTAGGCAATACCACATGTGCTTATGCCAGTCCTTATCATGTACTAGTGAGGAGTAAGAAAAGAAGTCTGGTGTTGGTATGAAACATCTATATTTTTACCATTCCTAAAGGACTAGTGTAGCAGAAGCTATCATGAATCATCCAGAGAATGAAAACTACCCTGTCCTTTTGTTCAATGCCCCAGAATGAGATAAACTTAATGTTAACAAGACAGTACCAAACTGCACAAAAAGTTGAAGAACAATACCACAGTGAGTTCTTTGAAATTGGATCTTGCAATGTGCTTGTCACATACACCAGTTTTGCTAAACAACTTGATAGCTGTGAATCAGAAATTGCATAGGTTGCTATGGACATTGTTCAAATATTTCTCTGACAGAAAACAATACTTCAAGTCTCTTCAGCTTGATGTTGGTGTGAAGGCACTCAGGTTACATATAGAGCTCACATTTGGCTCATCCTGAAAGAATATTGAGAAATTCATTATATTTTTTGAAGTAAGATCCCAAGTCAATTCCAAAGTTTGTTGCCTTTAGCAGAATCAAGCTGCCATTGAAGTCACCAGTTACTCTAATTCAGCTGATCCTTTTCAACATAGGTGTAAGATACATGAGCGGGGAAGCAATCCCTCCAAGCTTGCAATACATACGGGCATTCGGGCAAAATTAGAAGCAAAAATATGGTGATTTGGGTAAATTTTTACCTTCATTCAGGAAAACCTGGTAACAGGAGTTTCTTATTCATAACCTTTTTAAGGCAAAACTTGTACAGCCCCCCCCCCCTACCCCTGAAAAATCACCCATATTTCTATGCTTGTCAAAACAAAAACTATAGTTTTTGAAGACTTCATAACAAATTTGTAGTTTCCCAACATTCATGTTCTCTACAACAAGATAGAGGAGTATTCAAGTTAAGTAGTGCTTTGGGCTATCTACAAATATTGTAAAGATTAACAGCTTTATAAGCACAAATTAAGTAATGAAGAACAAACACAAATTTACAAAATTATGAAGATTATTACCCCGTGCATCATTTAAATCCTATACATTTGGATTATATAGACATAGTTAGATGGCAAAAGACCTGTACAGCTATATCCAAAAAAGAAAATGAATCATGAAAAGAAACTTGCATCTCTAACCAATAAAAGTGGTTTCATTTGACCCAAAGTTTAAACTAGTTGTTTTACCTAACACTGATAAAAATTTATCAAGGAACCATTTATCAGAAACCTACTACATGTATTGGATTTGGGGTTGAATTTTGCAGGCTCTCATAACAAAGTGAACTCTAATGAAATTCCTTCAAAATAGAAGCAGACATTCATAACTTAGATGTCATCACTCAATCCAATATTAGATGGGAAACGTATAAAATATTGAACAATAATCACAAACCAAAAATAACTTAAAAAATTAACTTGAAGCTCCAAAATCTATACAAGAAAATGAAGATCTTGTTGTAACAAAAGCAGACAAAGGTGGGAAAATTGTTATTCTTGACAAAAAATAATATAATTATGAAGCACTTAAATTAGTCTGAGGGTATATACACAAAACTAAAAAAAGTGACCTTACAAAACAGAACACACAAGAAGTAAAAACTACTATAAAGAGCATTAAGTGCTTATCTAAAGATAAAAAGATAACTTCCAAGATTTTACTGTTTACCCAAATTGCACAAAGAAGGGATACCTTTTAGACCCATCGTTGCATGCAGCAACATTCCAACTTACTCCTTAGCCAAATACTTCACCAAAAGACTGTAATTTCTACAAGTACAATGTAAAGAACTTAAAAGATTTTTGTTTAAAGGATAAAAAACATCACGAAAGTTCCATTAACTGGTTCTCTAGATGTTTTATCAAAAAATCTTGATGAGGCAAGCACACCTCCAGCAGACAAAGAAATTATTATCCTGTTAAAATTATGTCTTAACATCTATTTTCAATTCAACAATGAACATCACCAACAGAATAAAGGACTCAGCATAGGAAGTCCTCTGTCACCTCTTATGTGTGGCATTTTCATGGATGAATTTGAGAACAAATTGTTCAATCAAATACTACTAAAACCATATTTCTACCCACTCTATGTGGATAACACTGTTATACCAAAAGACAACTGCTGGTTAACCCTATCACCCCGGGTATCCTTTACTGCACTTGACACAAGGTTTTAGTGTCTTACATTCAAAATTATATTAAACTACTTTTTGTTTATGTTATACTAATTAATATAGTATAAAAGCTTAGTTAATAATCCATATTTTATTAGCTTACAAGTTTTAAGTTCTTAATTCCACAAGGTAATATTAAAAAAAAAACACCTAGTGTGACACATTTTCTTAAGGCATCTTCTCTTCTATATTTTATCTACCATCCCTTCAAAAATTATGAAATTACACGTAAATTACTCAGTATAAAATTTTTATAGCTTTCAATTTTGTTTGGTTACAGGGCTATTGAATAGAAAATCAGACTCCTCATGCCACATCCTCTCTTTCAGGATTTGTTAATAGTTCTCTCTTGCGTTAAATTATATATTACCTATCACCAATAGCAAGCCAAGGTTTTCGTCTATCAAATGCCGTATCATATAACGTTGTGTTCTGAACAGATAATCGTCAGTTTCACTCTGAGTACAAACTTCATTCACATGGGATAGCTAATGACTAGCTTGGATGAACTGTAATGGCTCTTGTCCATAGTTAGATAGACGAAAAAATTTTGAGAGTTGGGGAAAATTGTCTACTTTTAGCATGTTATTAGTCTATGTTCTTTGGTGTTTTATGTAATTAAATAAAAATCATTTAGTGCTTTACTACCATTAGTATAAAAAGAAGTAGGGTTAAGTTTCATTGACAATTGACAGCAAGAAAAAAGAAATTGGGTAAGTACCTTTTTTTTCATGTTTTTTTTTGTTTTGTAATAATTTAATGAAAGCCTAAAAAAATAAAGTTGTTTTAATCAGAGCCACAGTTTCATAAACTATGAATCGGGTGTAGCTTGATGAAAAGTAACGTCTTATTATAGCAGACTTTTTAAATCTATTATGATTATGTTATTTGATGTCTAAATACATACATATGTATTTGTGTCATTCTATTATTCTCATTTTAAAGCATATTAAAAAAATTCTAAGTGTGACTTGAAGTGAATAAATATAATTCTTGATACAGAACTGTCCTGTTGCCTTATCAAAAAATATGGGCAGTAGGTAATAATTTTCCCAGGTATAAATCAGATGTCTTCTTATTTATTACCACACTTATAGCAGTGAAAGGATATATTAAACCTCAGATGTAAATTTAAACATTATGATGCCAAGAAACATTCTTTTATATAAAATTATTTTGATATAAAATGACAAGTTTCCATATATTCATTATGGTCATGATTAGATATTAATTTATTTACACTAATAAAAAGTACACCATCCACACACTGTAGTGGATTTTTTCTTTAAAGGACGCCATTGCTCTTTCTCTTCTTCAGATAAATCTTTAATAGGAAGTCTTCCTTGGTTAGACTCAGACAAAATGGACATTGATCCTACAATACGAAACCACATATCAGTGTTGTTCCAGCTGAATATAATATATCTCAGTACAATTAGTAAGAAGAGACAAAGAAAAAGGATCAACTACAACATATTTTATTGATCCAAACACATATTTGCGTTTTAAGTAGAAAAATAGTAAGTGTTTAAGGAAAAACTTACAATGTTACTTTATGTTTTAAGACAAGATAAAATGATGTAACTTTGGGCATGAATAAACTAAAAAAACAAACATGGAATACTGACACAAAAAAATTCGGTGACGAGGAACCCA